AACCACCTGAAGACCAAGCCTTTTCTGACACTTTTTGTTCACATTAAAAAAAATCTGTATTTTTTGCTAGGAAATTAATTTAAACCCCAAAACATTATATTTTTTTAAAGCAAATACCCTAGTGAATAAAATAGTGGGTGTTGCAATTTTTTATGTCACATAGTACTCAATTTTTTTTTAAAAAATACACTTTTTTTACTTTTAATGCACAAAAAACACTAAATATTGGCTAATTATTTGGTAAAATATAAAAGATGATGGTATGGTAAATAGATACCAAACATGACATGCTTTAAAACTGTGCATGCCCCGTGCAATGGCGACAAACTGCATAGGTTTTTAATATCCATAGGCAACGTTTTAAAAGCCTTTACAAGCTACCATTTTAGACTTACAGAGGAGGTCTAGTGTTTGAATTACTGCCCTTGATCTGACGTTTGCGGCGATACCTCACATGCATGGTGCAATCTCTGTTTCCATACTGGCACAGGGTCAATGCTCATGAACGCAGATGCACATGTGCGCAGGGGGGCGAGGGTACTTTTTTTTTTAAGTTATTTTGATTTTTTAATTATTATTACACTGTCCCTTCATTTTTTTTTTTTTTTTTATCACTTTCAATGCTGTCACAGGGAATGCAAATATCCCCTATAACTTCAATGGGCATTGTCATATATTCTTTTATGAGGAATCTGGGTTCTATCAGACTCTAGATTTCTCCTCTGCCCTTACATTATCTAATCAAACCAAGATCAGTGTGTGATTAGATGCTTTCCAAATTTAAAAATGGTGCTGTTTATATCCTGTGAAACTGAAGTGATGAAGTGCTCGTAGCTTCCGATTTCTTAGGCTATAGAGATGATTGGCACCATTCTGGTCTCCAATCAGTTCTATGGTCAGCTAGCAGAAACACCAGCTGCATTCTCAGGTTGCCCCAAAGGCACGGGACTGCCCGAGAAGGCCATGGAAGGCAGCGGGGGAGGGGGGGCATCATCTTCCACTGCTTGTAAAAGCAATCCTGCAGCTGATTAGCCACTAGGATGAAAGACGATCACTGGCTGAAAAAAACGATACCAGGATGATGCCTGCAGCTGTAGGCATCATCCTGGTATAACCATTCAAAGTCCAGTGATGTACCAGTACATCGGTTTACGAATTAAATTTGTTCTGTAGGACATTTCATATGGCGATAAATTCGCAAACCGAAACACTGTTTCCCATAGGAATGCATTGAAAACCAATTAATCCGTTCAGAAGGTCAGAAAAATAGTAAACACTACTAAAATACCGCATGAGTTATTTTATTAACTCATGCAGTATTTTAGTAGTGACAACCATTGTTAATATTTCAGCTGTCAGCGGGGTTCCCCACTGACAGATGAATGTAATAGAATTGCTGGTAATTAAAAAAAAAAAATTTAATTGCAGGCAATTCACTCAGCTGTCAGGTGCCAGTTTTTAAAGTAATTACCATTTTTTTTCTTCCCCCTTCACTATACAGTAGTTCAGAAATTCAGCAGTTTCTTTCCCCCCTACAGCTGAAAGAGCAAGTTTCTTTTAGTTTATTTCCCCAAGTTAAAAGATACAATGTTTCCTTTCAGTTTCTTAAAAGATACAATGTTTCCTTTCAGTTTCTTAAAAGATACAATGTTTCCTTTCAGTTTCTTAAAAGATACAATGTACCCTTTCAGTGTCTTAAAATATACAAAGTATTCTTTAGCTCTGGGAAACTGACAGCTAATGTTGTGAGCTATACTGAAGAAAAAAAAAAGATGGCAATTGCATTTAAAAATCAACACTGAGATACACTCAATCTCAAATAGTAAAAAATTTGTAAACCGAGGCATTATTTTCAATGGATTTTTATTCGTAAACCAAAAATTACGTTAACAGAGGCATTCGTAAACGATATTACTGTATATGCTATTTTCTTTTTTTTTTTGTATGCAGCCTGTGGACTGAATGAAAAAAAAGAGAAGAAATCTCTGCCAGAAAAAGTGTGTGGTATGCCCACCATTGGAATATACTGCCCTGCATCCACCCACTTCTAATGGTGGGCACACATTAGGTCACACTTTGCCACATGCGCCAGTTCCAAGATTGTACAAATGTCTAAATAGTGGCACGCTTGAATAAAAATTGTCCACGTATAAGTAGTACCCCATATGGAGAAGGATGACACCAAGTCCCAAACTATCTTGCCACTGCTCCCCATGTAGTCTGGGCATCTGGGGGGCTCCACGTGACTATCTTTTCCCTCGTAAATCCGAATACTTGTGCTCGCCACTGCACCAGCTTGTACTACACTTATGGGACTCGCCACATCACCAAGTCATACTGCAGTTCTGGTATTATTATTATACAGGATTTATATAGCGCCAAAAGTTAGCACAGCACTTTACAATATAACGGGAGACAATACAGCAACAATACAGTTCAATACAAGAGGGTTAGGAGGGCTTGATCCTGGGAGCTTACAATCTAAAAGGTATGTGAAAGACCAGGATGTACTAGACCGCTGGTACTTGCCAGTTCACCAAAAGGTAGCGCGGCACTAGTACTGGCACTCTGCTGCATATGAGAGTCATCAAAATTTACCGACAAGTGCTAACAGAGATCAGGCCTGATTCTGCCAACACTGCTGTTTTGTGTGCAATGTATCAAGTGACCGTGACCTACTGACACTGCACTTGCTGGGGGAGAAGGGGGGGTAAGCGTAGGGGCTAAACGCAGGTGTTTGCAGGTGCCAGGGCTGATCCTGCTAACGCTGCATTTTTGGGGACACTATACTAATGTGATCGTTGGTATAGCGCTGATCTGATCAAAGATATTGATCTGTTCTGACACTATACTAGCAATGGAGGTTTATTGTGTATGAGCGTCTTCCTGGCAATCAAGGGGTTAAATGTGATGACTGGTGTACTGATGGGTTATCTGACGCCATAAGGGAGGGGGCATAAAAACCACGGGAGCGCCAATCACGTATATATATGTGATTTTGCGCACCCGTGACGCCCTGTAGCAGTATTTCTGCTATAGGGCGGTCAGGAAGCGTTACATAAGCAGTTTGTGTTATGGCGCTGCGTTACTTTAAATGACAATTGCGCGGTCATGCAATGCTGCACCAAAATTAAATTTACATCTTTTTTCCCCACAAATTGAGCTTTCTTTTAGTGGTATTTAATTGCCTGTGCGTTTTTATTTTTTCGCTATAAAAAAAACCCGACAATTTTGAAAAAAAAATATTTTGGACTTTTTGCTATAAAACATGTCCAGTAAAAAAATTTAAAAATCAAATTTTGTCATAAATTTCAGCCAAAATGTATTCTGCGACATATCTTTCCTAAAAAAAAATCCCAATACGTGTAAATTAATTGGTTTACGTGAAAGTTACAGCATTTACAAATGGCGGTATAGATACTGGATTTTTAATTTTTTTTTATACTAATAATGGCGGCGATCAGTGACTTATGCTGGCTGGACTGCGGCGGACATTCTGACACTGGGGGGAAGTGACTCTGGTCACTGACATCCCCAGTGACACCAATACAGTGATCAGTGAAAAAAAAAACACTGACACTGTATTAATGGTACTGGGGAGGAAGGGGGTTAACTTTTTTAGGCAATCAAAGGGTTAACTGTGTGAGGTTAGTGTTTTACTAGTGGGCGGTGGGGGTGTCCTGGAAAGCTCATCTCTGCTGTCTGTGACAGTATGTTGGGAACTGACAGGGAGCAGAGCTGCATTGAAAACAATGCAGCTGTGCTCTATGTCACTGTTACCCGGCGAGTAATGACCGGCTGGGACCTGGTGAATGGCACCCGCGGCCACGATCAGCTCCTCGTGCGCACCCCCTACCTGATATGCAAAATGACGTTTATAAATGTGATTGTGCACAGTGGTGCCGCCCTGCTGCAGTATATGTACTGTGGCTGGTCAGCAACTGGTTAAACAATGATAGCATTCTTTCATGTTTATGTTTTATATAAAAGCTCTTTTCTTATTGTTTATAGCTTTTGCTACATAAGCTTTATTTAAATAACCAATATGTGAAAATAAAATATAGTGCTTAATATAACCACAAATAATAGCGCTCACAAAAAAAACAAATTAACGTGCTAATAACTATTAATACCACCACCAAATTATATGTGTGAGAATTAATTAAATAAATAATCATTGGATCCTCATAAAGTCCATTCAATAAAGTACACATATCAATGGTATATATCAGTGATGGCGAACCCGTGGCAAGCGTGCCACAGCCGGCATGCAGAGCCTTATCTGTGGGCACGCCAGGAGAATACCGTATTTTTCGCTCCATAAGACGCACTTTTTTTCCCCCAAAAAAGGGGGGAAAATGTCAGTGCATCTTATGGAGCGAATATAGAGCGGCCGGTCCGGTATTTCCACCGCCGCCGTGTCAGAATACCGGGCCGGCCTCTCAGCTCTGCAGTGGGACCGTACCTGTCCCTCTATCCAGCGGTGCGCTGTCTTCCCGGCTTCTGTAGTGTGCGTGACAGCCGGGTCCCAAGTGCGCATGCGCAAGAAGCAGTGCTCTTTGTGAATGGTAAGGCGGTACCTGGGACACATGACAGATCCCAGAAGCCGCCGGACCAATCACAAAGCGCAGCGCTTCTCGCGCATGCGCACTGGGCATCCGGCTGTCCGACGAGCGCCCACACTACAGAAGCCGGGAAGACAGCGCGCGGCTGGATAAAGGAACAGGTAAGATAAAAAAAAAACTCTGCGGAAGTAAGAGCGGGTACCTGTAAAATTCAGGTACCCGCTCCCCCTCCTCCCCAAAGGTCAGCAGTCATCTCCTGTACTGTCCGCAGTCTCTGGTCATCCCTGTGCTTTCCGCAGTCTCTGGTCATCTCCTGTACTGTCCGCAGTCTCTGGTCATCCCTGTACTGTCCGCAGTCTCTGGTCATCCCTGTACTGTGTCCGCAGTCTCTGGTCATCCCTGTACTGTCCGCCCAGTCTCTGGTCATCCCCTGTACTGTCCGCAGTCTCTGGTCATCTCCTGTACTGTGTCCGCAGTCTCTGGTCATCTCCTGTACTGTGTCCGCAGTCTCTGGTCATCTCCTGTACTGTGTCCGCAGTCTCTGGTCATCCCTGTACTGTGTCCGCAGTCTCTGGTCATCCCTGTACTGTGTCCGCAGTCTCTGGTCATCCCTGTACTGTGTCTGCAGTCTCTGGTCATCCCTGTACTGTGTCTGCAGTCTCTGGTCATCCCTGTACTGTGTCTGCAGTCTCTGGTCATCCCCTGTACTATGTCTGCAGTCTCTGGTCATCTCTGTACTGTGTCTGCAGTCTCTGGTCATCCCTGTACCGTGTCCGCAGTCTCTGGTCATCTCCTGTACCGTGTCCGCAGTCTCTGGTCATCTCCTGTACCGTGTCCGCAGTCTCTGGTCATCTCCTGTACCGTGTCCGCAGTCTCTGGTCATCCCTGTACTGTGTCCGCAGTCTCTGGTCATCCCTGTACTGTGTCTGCAGTCTCTGGTCATCCCTGTACTGTGTCCGCAGTCTCTGGTCATCCCTGTACTGTGTCCGCAGTCTCTGGTCATCCCTGTACTGTGTGCAGTCTCTGGCATCCCTGTACTGTGTCTGGTCATCCCTGTACTGTCCGCAGTCTCTTGTCATCCCTGTACTGTGTCCGCAGTCTCTGGTCATCCCTGTACTGTTAATTAGTTTGCACTACTGTACGAGTTGTTTTTTCTAAACCAAAAGCTCGATATTCAGGTTTCATTGCAGTGTTGGCACTTTGAAAGAAATAAGTTGGTTTTGGGTTGCAGTTTGGGCACTCGGGCTCAAAAAGGTTCGCCATCACTGGTATATATGATCTTCAATCAAATGAAGTTATAGAATCTTCCTTCACCAATATATACTCCAGTGCTCAACACCCCATCAAAATGCAAACTCACCAGATACTGGTGAAAAACCAGCATATCTTTATACACACAATGATTGTGATAAACTCAGCAAGCTTGGCTCTCTCCAGCTGAAGGATCCTATATACTACATAGATCACATATGAATAGAATAAAGAACACTCGCCATAGTATAATAACATTTTAAACTATTTATTTCCAAGCAACCCCCATAAAACCGCACTCACATTGTGTCAGTACAAAACAAGCATTTTACATTAAAATCTTCCACGACAGCGTTAACTCAGAGCTCCCTGCTCCTACAGTGGTGTCTCACCAGCCTGCAACAAGATGGCATAGTTGCAAGTCACATGGTCCGGACACGTGGTGCTGCGTACGTGATGACGTCACTGCTCAATCACTAACGCGTTTCATCAAACAACTTTGTCCGATGTCGTGATGAAACACGTTAGTGCGCGATCGAGCAGTGACGTCATCACGTACGCCTCGCCACGTGTCTGGACCCCGTGACCGCAACTACACCATCTTGTTGCAGGCTGGTGAGACATCACTGTAGGAGCAGAGAGCTCTGAGTTACCGCTGTTGTGGAAGATTTTAATGTAAAATGCTTGTTTTGTACTGACATAATGTGAGTGCGGTTTTATGGGGGATGCTTGGAAATAGTTTCAAATGTTGTTATACTATGGCGAGTGTTCTTTATTCTATTCACAAGTAATCTATGGAGTATATGGGATCTTTCAGCTGGAGAGAGTTAAGCTGTTGAGTTTATCATTGAGTGTATAAAGATATGCTGGTTTTTTCACCAGTATCTGGTGAGTTTGCATTTTGATGGGGTGTTGAGCACTGGAGTATATATTGGTGAAGGAAGATTCTATAACTTCATTTGATTGAAGATCATATATACCATTGATGTGCGGACTTTTTTGAATGGACTTTGAGAATCCAATGATTATTTAATTCTCATACATGTAATTTGGTGGTGATATTAATAGTTATTAGCACGGTAATTTTTTTGTGAGCGCTATTATTTGTGGTTATATTAAGCACTATATTTTATTTTCACATATTGGTTATTATTTGAAGTATTGTTGCATAATAGCCACTCCTATATTATTTATATGTGTATGCTATATTTCATGGTACTACATTCCAGGGGCACAATTATGTAGAATTTGGACTATATTGATATTATACACCAGGGTTTATTTTTATTTATATAAGTTTTATTTTTAGCCTTTAAACTTGTTGCCTATGGGAATATGGTTTGCAGTGTGTTCACATAGTCTTTGAAAACTCCCATTTCTGTGTTTTCATCTATGCCAATATTCCCTTCCAGTCCAAGTCTTGGAGAGCAGCTCTCAGCCTTGGAAAATTAGCTCTCCTAAAGTTGAGTGTTTTTATTTTTCCTGTATGCACTTGTTTACAGCTAATAAATGAAATCATGTTATGGTCACTGCTACCCAGATGTTTTTATATGAACATTAATAAGATCTACTGTATTCCAATCACCCAACTGTAGGTGGTACAAGATGGAGTCTACAAGCTAACTAAACTGCAGCCTATCCCCTGCAGTCCCCCCCCCCCCCCCCCAAAACATTTTATGGACTGATGAGTGATTTAGACCACATGGATAGGCCCCTGGTTGGATCAGTAACGGGCACAGAGCTCCACTTTGACTCAGCCATCAGCAAGGTGGGGTACTGGCCTTGTTTAAAGATGAGCTAGTTGGACCTTTTCAGGTTGAATATTGACTCAAAAATCCAACTCCCAAACCTATTGCCAGGTTTTTTTTTAATTTTTTAGAAGACTGCATAGTCAAGGAGACCATGAGGTTTATGCTGGACAATAGAACATCACATGCATCGAAGTAACCACAGCTAGCCAGTAAAGACCTTAAAGATACAGGCAGCACAGTGGCTAAATGGTTAGCACTTCTGCCTGGCAGTACTAGAGTTGTTGGTTTGAATCCAAACCACAGCACCACCTGCCTGGAGTTTGCATGTTCTCCCTGTGCAGGTTTCCTCTGGCTACTCCGGTTTCCTCCCACACTCCAAAGACATGCTGGTAGGTAAATTGGCTTCTGTCTAAATTGACCCTAGTACATGTGAGTATGAATGCGAGTTAGGGACCTTAGATTGTACACCCCTGGAGGGTTAGGGACTGATGTGAAATGTACAATATATACACATGTAAAGTGCTGCATAAGTTGATGGCACTATACAAGTACCATAAAAAAAAAAAAAAAAAAAAAAAAAAAAGCCCTTTCCTCACCTGACCTAAACCTCATTGAGAACATGTGGGGGTCCTTATTAACCACTTGCCAACTGCAGATAACCAAATGACAGCTTCACTGCAGCTGGACAGTTTGAGGACATCCTCCCAGAATGCACCCCCTGGCAAGCTCGGTGATTGCTGTGTCCTACAAACACAGCTGAACGTGATGTGGTAAAAAAGTTAAATCACAGCAGCCTTTACCATGTGATCAGCCATGTCCAATGACACCACAGATCACCAGTAAATGCAGTTGCTGTGCAATATTGCATGACCATGCAATTGTCAAAGTGCAGCAGAGCCGAAAATTGGCCTGGGCACTAAAGGGGTACAAGGGCCTGGTAGGCAAGTGGTTGAATGGGAGATTTCCAGTGAAGAAAACCAGTATACTTCTCTGAACAGTGTCTGGGAGGCTGTAGTTGCTGCATAAAGTTTAGTCAGATAAAAGAAAGTGACAAGACTTCATGAATGGAAGGCTTATGACTTACTGAAAAGTGTAGCTAGATTGGTCGCCAATTATTTATTTTTAAAATGTCAAATGTTTTATAAAATTGTGAGCACTCAATTTGATGAAGACCAGCAAGATGGGAAAAGTGTTTTCCTGTTTGGGTGCACTATAATTCTGCACACTAATAGTTGCCCAAAAGAAAGCCAAAACGTCATGTTAACTATTTAGGTTTGAGATGTAATATTTTGGCTTGACCAAGAGCACTGTAGTTGTGCTACAATGAAATGAATCCTTAATTTAAAAAAACTTGCCTAATTGTAAGTCGTATAGCTACACCTTTGGTGCTTGGTCCCCATATTGAAGAGTGTTTTTGAGATTGCTGGTTGCTTCTTGGTCATTTCCTGGTGTCCTTACCAGGAGAGGCTGGCTGTAAATTTGTTTACCATTTCTACAAAGATAAGTGGGTTCCAATGTATAGATTCACTCACATGCTCATAAAACAAGGATTTCTGAAACATGAAATGAATTCAATCTGCCCGTGAAGCAAAAAAGGACTAGTATTGTGAGACTAAGGCCTTAGAGGCTGTATGCTACCCTTAGCTAGCTCATTTCAGGATTTTGAACACCACTACAAATATCCTGTTACATCTGGATGCAGAGTAGTTTTTGAGTCAGTGGGAGGGTCTCATCAAAACAGTAGGTGTTAGCCAACCAGCATTAGCTAAACTTAAATTTCCTTGGGCATCCCCTATTCCAGGGGTAGGGGACCTGAGAGCTGCAGGACTACAAGTTCCATCATGCCTCTGCAAGTCATAGCTGTAGCTGTCAGTTTTGTAATCTTTGCAATGCCTCATGGGAAAATGTAGTACAACAGCTAGAGAGCTTCAGGTTGCCTACCCCTGCCCTATTCAAAAGTATCATTGATGGCTTTCCAAAATCAAAATAAGGGATGGAGCCTCAGACTTTCCAATAATGATTTGCAAGCAAAATAAAAGGTAAGACAGGAAAGTCTTCTGTGCTCTAAGTGGTGCCAATTCCTTAACCAGTCCCAAGAGGTATCCCAAAAGTGAAGTGTATTTTTTTTTTTTTTTTTTTTTTAAAACAGAATAAAAGATAGTCCATTTTCTAACCAGGTTATGTGAACATCTAAAAAAAAAAAATATATATATATATATATATATATATATATATATATATATATATATATATATATATATATATATATATATATATATATAAATTAAAATGATGCATCACTTGAATGGGTCTCATTTGGTAGTGGCTCCACAGAAAACTTTTCCGGGGGGGTGTAGAGGTGTGATCACTACACAGCAGAGCAAGCATTATGTGCACGACTAAAAAACCTCCAAGCCTTAAGATAAAAAGAAAAGTCAGCTGCACATACAATTAGATCAAAAAAGTTTATTTTGTTTTCCACAAAAAAAAAAGCAAAAAAAAAAAGCAAAAAAATTTAATGTTTCAGTAAACAGCACAACTTAACAAAAATGAAACCCGTATAGTCAGTTGTGCATTAATTTCACAAAGAAAAACAAAAAGACAAACCACACACAAGTTAAGTTTTACCCTGCTTGGGTTGGTCTCCCTGACCAGTCAGCAGCCACTATAATAAAGGCACATTTACATGCAAATCAAGTATTTTCCAAGGCATTGCAATTCTAGTCTATATAAAATGACTAAATCAGCATTAGAGAAATACGGATCCCAACAGAAACCGCTCATCGCTGAAGCTGTAAACAGTGTGTCACCCCCATCTACCCTCTTAAAGCCCAACACCAGCCAAAGCTTTTGTATGGACAGAGTGGAGATGTGTTAAGACAGGTCAAATTTCAAAGTACTGTGCCCCACTGAGAAGATTTTCTGACAGGTTTTAAAGCCCA